GTGCATCAGACGGCCTAATTTACAAATAATATACAATACGAGATTGAAATAGAGTATTTATGTTTTTCTTTGTTTTTTTTTCGGGCCACCAGATTTCATTTTCGGGCCACCAAAAATTGAAAATCAATGATTTTGGTGGCCCGATCGGGCCACTGGAAAAAAAAGTTAGTGTCGAGCCTTGCATTAGGCCATATTATAAATAGTAAAGGGTCGCGACTTAGCGAATTTCTGCGATTGGAAAACCAGCAATAGCCGCAGGATGACTGGTAAGCAACATTACATGTGTTGCAGTGCGATGGTTGAAATGCCCTGTGCAAGTTCTGTCAGTTATGTTTTTGTCTGTTTGTTTGTGGCTTTACGGTCACGGTACACGCTACGGAACAAGAGTTCTCTATACTATAGTGTCAGAACTTTGCTCTTTCCTGATGCTAACAGTAATTAAACTCCGATAGAGCAATATTAAATTGTGCCATAAAAATTTGCATGGTATAAGATCATATAAAAGATCTGACTGTAAGACATGTCACTGTGAGACTGTAAGACATGACAGTCTGTAAGATCATGTAAATTTCTAGGGCAGACTTTATTGGTCTGTCGGTAGCTCTAGAACAATAGCCATGCATTCGCCCTGCCACAGGACTGTCCTGTGGCAGGGCGAATGGTCCTGGACTATCTATCGCACAAATTATATTGAAACTGGGCAACGAAACTACTCCCTTTGCTCCCACGAGGAACGGATCACAGCAAAAACGATGGTAGCCCTCTACTCATAAGCGTGTGGGTGTAGCACTGGCGCTGATACAAGGTTAATGTCAGGCAACATGTTTATGTTTAGAAAAATGCCAGTTCACCCCCATGGGTAATGGGTTGCCTCCGTGTTTTTGCCTAAATTTCAGATGACGTTCCCCACGTGTGCGGCAATTTGAACGGAATTTGCAAGTAGTGGTAAGAATATTCAGGAAGAGGAATATATGAATAAATGCATGGTGTAAAGTTGTGAAACTGTTCAAAAAGTTAGGTAAGAGGTCCGACCGTCCGTGTAGATAAATAAGTGTTTAAAACCCCAATCATTATATTATGCGTTCTATGAGCTGTTCCTCGTGGGAGCAGAGGGAGCAGTTTCGTTGCCCAGTTTCATCATAATTTGTGCTATATAGTCCTGTGGCAGGGCGAAGGGCTATCTATACTTCTGGAGCTAGTCTGCCGGTAGCACTCCAGAGTCCGGAATATACGAACTATATTATACCGGGGTCCCAAACTTGGCATGAGCACACTCCGGCAATTCGAGAACAGTGGGCCTACCAAGAAAAGGGCCGATGCAGACATTCAGACATGCAATTGTAAGTAAGGTTCATATTCAATCACTTTATTTACACTTATACAAATTAGCCTTAGAGTACAAATTCAAATTAGTCTTAGATTACAATACAAATTCAAATTAGTCTTAGATTACAATACAAATTCAAATTCAAATTCAAATTCAAATTCAAATTCAAATTCAAATTCAAATTCAATTCAAATTCAATTCAAATTCAAATTAGTCTTAGATTACAATACAAATTAGTCTTAGATTATCGAGCAGGGTTCTTTTTCTGGGATATATTTGCTCATTTCAGCGCTTGGGTCACCATTAGATACAATATTATATAGGATCCTATATTATCTTATTCCTGATATTATCAAGAGCTAATAATACCTAGAGTGTACAACGGAAAAACGGGAAAATAATGCTATTTCACGACTACATTATTCTACTTTGCCTGCGAGTCTAGAATAATTTCATGGTATTGCATTAAGCAGAATTCCTTGCTCTCTACAACAAGTATTGTTATCATTTATTTCTGGGTCATACGTTTGTTTTGCCTCGAAACTGGAAGCATATTTCCGCATCCCATAAATCCTCTGACATAACATGCCTTAAAAAGAATTAACATGCCTTTAAAGGAATAATATGTCCATTGATTATGCAATGTTGACGAATGCTAGAGTAACTGGCACCTTGTGTAGTTCATAAGTACATTACCATATAGCCAAACACGTATTAGTTTGTCCAATATCACTGCTGGTTACTAAGAAATGTCTAATTGAAATCCGCAGTCCAAAAATCATTGTTTACAGTTTCAAACCGCTGCCGGAGAAGCGGGTGTGATACAGATTTATAGTGCACCTGACATTTTCGCACGCATGCTCGGCCGTACGCAATGCTATCATCAGTGATTTCGTAAGCACAGACGCTCGTGATAAGGAACTTTTTGTCAGGGCTGTCCATGTGCGTCCGTGATTAGTACGTGTTTTACTCCATTTCCATGTTTAGTACGCGGCCGTGGTTACACCGCTGACACCTCCATTTCATCTGGTGTCCAAAACAGACGGGACGCACAAATGTTTACGTCATCGGCGACTTATCGCTTGACTCCTGGATGACATTTACGGCATGTAAATGAATATCAACAACCGATTTTAAGTCTTGCTTGTAATGTAACCCGCAGTGATATTGGACAAACTACTACGCATTAGGCTATAAGGTTACGTACTTATTAACTACACAAGGTGCCAGTTACTCTAGCATTCGTCAACATTGCATAATCAATGGACCTATTATTCCTTTAAGCCCAGCTGTGTTTAGTTCTCATAATACCAACACAGTCCTCCCATGTTTTTACAGCTTGGTGTATACGTCTCCAAACTGATCGAGTTTACCCGTGTATTGCAGCCGCTTACGACACATGATTGACTTCAATTAGAAATCGGAGATAAATTGCCCGACTGACTGACATGCCTTCTAAATAGAACCAAGCAGTGGTTCCCTAAATTTCTCATTAAACATGTTAAACAGAAAGCAAAACTTTTACATAAAAAAAATATAAAAAATGTATAACACTAAATTTTTCGTCTAACCTTCCAAATTTGTCCGTCCAAAATCCCGTAGTTATGCCACCGATCATTCCGCCTACAGCAAACATCGACACTGTTACGGACCATAGTGCATCGAGCATATTCTTGTCTATGTCTCCTGGAGCTAGTGTTGTCACGTTAGGATCTCCTGAGAAGTTGTAGCCATGCCGCTTCCGATAGATCTCCCGGTACCATTCCTGGATCACCTAGACAGAGAGAGAGAGGGAGAGAGAGAGACAACTGACATATACAGTTTTATACTCCATACTATTGTACCACTACGTTAGCACCAAATCACACTTTATGTGGGTGCTGCTGCACCAAATCACACCTTGTGGGTGCACCAAAATGTATTTTATATATACCTGCGACACTACAACGATACTAAATATGATGGCGAGAATGCCTACTTTTCCGGGAGAGTTGATGACACCGGTGTTCCAGCCAAATTGGAAGGAGGATCCTAAAGTAACGACGATGGCCGCAAACAGAAGCGGCCATGTCAGTCGCCCTGTCACATCCTAAAAAAATTAATAAATCATTAGGCCATATTATAAATAGTAAAGGCTCGCGACTTAGCGAATTTCTGCGATTAGAAAACCAGCAATAGTGGCAAGATGACTGGCAAGCAACATGTGTTGCAGTGCGATGGTTGAAATGCCCTGTGCAAGTTCTGTCAGTTATGTTTTTGTCTGTTAATTTGTTTGTGGCTTTACGGTCATGGTACACGGTACGGAACAAGAGTTCTCTATACTATAGTG